AAAAAAAAAAGCAAGTGCTAAAAATTTCTTCTCAAAATAAATTGCTTTGAAACAAACTTAATCTAAATGTCAAGGGGACTTACTTGGAGGCAGAGAAAATCCTACTGCTTCGTGACGTTCTGACTCTCTGATCCCAGCAACACATTGCTGAGTGAGCTTTAGTTCTTGAAATTTCAGCCAGATTTTAAGATTTGAATTTAATTGTAACTTACACACTTGAAAACTTTCTCCTTGATTTTTTTTTTAAATTCTATCAGTTAAAATAGGTAGAATATATGAAATTTGATATGCTTCAATCTCATGGTTAAAGTAATATTGTTATTCTGTATGAGTGTTTAGTGATTTGGGAAGAATGATTAAGGATCTTACAGACAAAAACAAAAAGTTTTTTAAAACCCTATGGGAGACCTTTAACAGAGAAACACAGCCGGTTTGAACAAGAGAATGAAGTAGCCAGTTAGGTAAGAAGAGAGATAAATTGCAAAACTTAAAGTACAAATTGAAAATTGACTAGGATCCAAAATGTTCTTCACAGTCGCAAAATCCAAATTTTATGGTAAAATGATTCATGCTTCTTTGGGAGATAGGTCGGAGGCAGGAGGTCACCAAGAAGGCCATCACCAGGTTAGGACTGAGAATTCAGTTGCCTAAGAAGATAAGGGAAATGTGTGAATCTAAGAATTCCTAAAGCTACTCTCAGGATTTAGCGGCTGACCCAGATGTTGGGGTAAGGTCACCTCAAGGTAGTAAAAACAACTGAAAGTAACTGCCAGCTCTTGGAAGGATAGGCTACACTTTAATTATTTGGTTTTAGATATCCCTTTGGACAGAAAAATGTGCCAATATTAAAAATCTCAAAAAATGCTTTTCTTAAAGAATTGAGGTGACTTGACAGCAGATGAATACTCTGGGGAGACAGAATGTGCACTGTAGTTTCACAGGAACCCAGTATGTTTGACTTCATTATGGTGGAAAGGATAAATCATCTTGCTTCTTTCTATATCAGTCTTAGGAAGATTCCTTGTTACTACAAAACTCCAATAGGAAAATTAGTAGACACCAAATTTCAAGGTGGAGTAGGCCATAGTTCTCAAAAAGGAGTAAAAACGTGGAGGTCCATATATGAAATGAACAAAAGATGTTTCCTAATGTTTATTTGTTTGAGTCACAACCTATTTTGTCATTTTCAATTTCATTTAGGAACTAAAGCAAGACATTTCTAGTTTCCGCTTTGAAGTTCTGGGATTACTAAGAGGAAGCAAACTCTCTACACTCCAGTCCGCTAATGCCACAAAGGAGTCTTCTCATTCAGCAGACTCCGATGAAAAGAGTGACACCGAAGGCAGTAGCAAGGACAAGAAAAGGAATTTCAGCCTTTTTGATCTGACCACTCTGATTCACCCGAGATCAGCAGCCATTGCCTCCGAAAGACACAACATAAGCAATGGCTCTGCCTTGGTGGTGAGGGAGCCACCGAGGGAGAAGCAGAGAAAAATGAATTTTGTGACCGATATCAAAAACTTCGGGTTATTTCATAGACGATCAAAACAAAATGCTGCTGAGCAAAATGCAAACCAGATTTTTTCTGTTTCAGAAGAAGTTGCTCGTCAACAGGCTGCAGGACCACTTGAGAGAAATATCCAACTGGAATCCCGAGGATTAGCTTCAGGGAGTGACCTGAGCATTCCCGGGCTCAGCGAACAATGTGTATTAGTAGACCACAGAGAGAGGAATACGGACACACTGGGTTTGCAGGTGGGCAGGAGAGTGTGCTCATTCAAGTCAGAGCAGGTGGTGGTGGAGGACACTGTTCCTATAATACCAAAGGAGAAACACGAAAAGGAAGAGGACTCTAGTACAGACTATGACTTCAACCTCACAGACACAGTCACCCATGAAGATTATGTGACAACAAGATTGTGATACTTGAAGGAGGAAGAGTTTACCATATATATACATATTTTCCATAGTGCTCTGGGTGGGGAGGAAATGTGCAAAATTAAATCAGCCAATGCTAACTTACACCTTCTAGCATTTATCAATTGTGGCATATTAACTTGTAAAATGTTTAAATAAGGCAAAGGCAATCAAAAGCCCTTCTGTTTTGTAGCCTGTTTTTGCTTTCACAATTTGTTTTCAATTTTTTTGTTGTTGTTAATGAATAAATGTACCTTGTATTCTTCTTGTACTGTTGCAATTACCCACAGAAAATTTTTAGACATCTTTTTCAATTAAAACAAATGTGATTTATTTCATGTGACAGTTGACTCCTATAATAGATATTTTTATATGCAAAAAACAATGTAGCTGAAATATTAGAGCTTTTCATAATTTCTTAGGGCCTCTAGAGATGGTTACTCACCAAGGACTTTTCACCCAGTTTTACAGTTTGGCTTTAAACCACAAAAATTACCAAATTATTTCTTAAGAACATGTAAATAATTATAGTACACAATTAGAGCAAGCAAGCCTTCTTCTCTTAAAATTAAAGTCAGAAATACTTCATAAAGTTTTAGGTTGTCCCAATGTTAACTTTCAGTTGGAAAAGAAATACTTGTCCTAATAAATTTTGATGGTTGATGATTTTTAATGACATTTTGCTCAAAAAAATACGTGCATCTCCAGCTTTTTTCAAAAAAACAAATTACCCTTTTCAGTGCAACTGCTTATCCATATAAGTATGAGCCTTTATTAATAACTGAATTTCAGAAATGTGTCAAAAGATCCCAGTTGTAGAAAAAATAACCATCAGTTAAAGCACCTTAAACACAGCAAGATGATTGCATACTCATGTATCCAGAGGAAAGTGAATTCATTCCAACCATCTCAATCTAGGCAAAGTTGAATTCCAATATTTTCAATCAGTGCAATATTGTTGTCAATGCAAAAGAAGTAAAAAACCTAGTAGTCTCCTCTTCTTTCCTCCAGTGATTGGTGTATATTTCTTTAAAACTAAAATCATTCAAATATCATTATTAATTTTCTCAGTAGATATAGATATATAGTTTTCTCTATAGGAACAACATTCATAATTCCTTGTTTCTCCTATTGTTTACAAGGTAATTTAGCTTATATTACATTCATTCACTGAACTATTAAAAGGAAAGTGTTCCCACTTGGTATAAAGATGATATCGGCAACTTCTTAAAGTTTAAGTTGTATTACTTGAGTCTGTTTAAGCCACCATGGAAAGTTTCCTCACCACAGGCAATTAGCATTTATTTCAAATCGGCAGCAACACGCTGAGTTCATTTTACTTCAAAAAGTACTTCTGTGGACTAGAGAAATTGTATATGATTTAGCATTGACCGAAAAACTGCACAGTATTATGAAACATCAGTTTCTGATAACCATACATCAAAAATAAGGAGTAACAGCAGTAACAATGCCAGCCACTGTGCTATGCACTATGCATGTATTAACACGTCTGTACTGCTCTTAACACTCAGAAGTAGTTACTGTTCTAATCCACATTTTACAGATGAGGCAACAGTACTTGTTACTGAGACAAGTACTTGCTTGTTACTGAGACAAGCAGTAACCTGGCTAAGGTAACACAGCTAGTGATGAAGCTGTGATGTGTCTTTTAGCGCTATGCCCCTAACCACCCCACTGTACTGCATCTCAGAATGTAAACAGAGCAAGCAAAAAAAAAAAAAAATCATCTGTAGGGGTTACTATCACCACTTCTGAAATCCCACACTTTGAGAGAGAGTTAAGTTTGGTAAGTTCCATAGTGTGTGTCCCTTCCTGTAAAGCAAGAGGAATGTGCAAAATTATGGATGTGCTGTATTGGATTCTTTAGACTCAATTACATCATAAAAGTCAGTAGATTTAAACA